AGAAATACTGGGAAATGAGTAGGACATTCAACTACGTCCTACTGATGGTAAACACGTTGAAATCAATAAACCTAAGTGAGTCATGTTTATTACCTTCAATGGGTCTACTCTGAGTAGGACTAACATTAAATACCAACCACAGTGCAGTAGTTTCAAAATTATTTAAGGTGAAGTAATGTGACATTTCTGTCTGTGGAATATAATCTGTAATGGTTTCTCAGTAGATGTAAATTCTCACTTTTTCTCACAAGGGCAAATTCTCTGTGTGTATGATGTCTCAGATCCAGAAATGGAGAGCTTGAAATCAGTTCTTTTTATTGTCTTTTACATTGGATGCTACCCATTTTTTATGTGTGTGGACTACAGCTCCTATCATCCTTCACCTTTGGATGAGAATTGATCAGAGTTGGAGTCTGGCAACATCTGGAGGGCTACAGGCTACCCCCCCCGCTTCTCATATTGTGCCCCTGTGTGCTATTTGTCCATGTATGTGAGTGGCTTTTCTATGCTATGTATAGATTCACTGTAGAACCTCAAGGACAATGTTCCTCAGCCTTGAAGTCCCCACATGCTACTGGATTACAGCTCTTCGTGTCTGTGGCCATTATCTAAGGTCAAAGAATATTGCTTTAGAATGAGGCGTTTGTGTGTAAATGATTATGAGAAAGGTCCTTGTTCACATTGCTCCATGCAAAAATGGGGAAGCTGGGCCATGACATTTCTGAGTGTTGGCCCTGGCTATTATTTATTCACTAACATCATTTGTTGTTGTTGCTGTTGTTTAGTCGTTTAGTCGTGTCCGACTCTTTGTGACCCCATGGACCAGAGCACGCCAGGCACTCCTGCCTTCCGCTGCCTCCCGCAGTTTGGTCAGACTCATGTTTGTGGCTTCGAGAACACTGTCCAACCATCTCGTCCTCTGTCGTCCCCTTCTCCTTGTGCCCTCCATCTTTCCCACCATCAGGGTCTCTTTCAGGGAGTCTTCTCTTCTCATGAGGTGGCCAAAGTATTGGAGCCTCAGCTTCAGGATCTGTCCTTCCAGTGAGCACTCAGGGCTGATTTCCTTAAGAATGGATGCGTTTGATCTTCTTGCAGTCCATGGGACTCTCAAGAGTCTCCTCCAGCACCATAATTCAAAAGCATCCATTCTTCGGCGATCAGCCTTCTTTATGGTCCAGCTCTCACTTCCATACATCACTACTGGGAAAACCATAGCTTTAACTATATGGACCTTTCTTGGCAAGGTGATGTCTCTGCTTTTTAAAATGCTGTCTAGGTTTGCCATCGCCTTTCTCCCAAGGAGCAGGCGTCTTTTAATTGCGTGACTGCTGTCACCATCTGCAGTGATCATGGAGCCCAAGAAAGTAAAATCTCTCACTGCCTCCATTTCTTCCCCTTCTATTTGCCAGGAGGTGATGGGACCAGTGGCCATGATCTTCTTTTTTTTGATGTTGAGCTTCAGACCATATTTTGCGCTCTCTTCTTTCACCCTCATTAAAAGGTTCTTTAATTCCTCTTCACTTTCTGCCATCAAGGTTGTATCATCTGCATATCTGAGGTTGTTGATATTTCTTCCGTCAATCTTAATTCCGGCTTGGGATTCATCCAGCCCAGCCTTTCGCATGATGAATTCTGCATATAAGTTAAATAAGCAGGGAGACAATATACAGCCTTGCCGTACTCCTTTCCCAATTTTGAACCAATCAGTTGTTCCATATCCAGTTCTAACATCATTTGTATACCACCAATTAACAATATCTTCTGGGCAGACAACAATAAAACATAAGCATGAAAAAGCCGAACTCTAAGAATCAAACAGAATAAAGCTACAGTTCAGTTTGAAGCTAGCTAAATAAAACAATCAGCAGCAAGAACTAAACAAAAAGAACTTAAAACGGTAGAAGAAAAAACATGAAGAACTTAAAATGATCTTGAAACACCTACGGAAATGAAAAGGTCTGCATCTGGCGATGAAAAGACGATAACATCAGTAGAAGGGGAGCCTCTCTGTAGAGGTACCACTGCCGAAGAGCCCCTTTCTTTGGTGGCTACCCAATATACAGTGGTACCTCGGGTTACATACACTTCAGGTTACATACGCTTCAGGTTACACACTCCGCTAACCCAGAAATAGTGCTTCAGATTAAGAACTTTGCTTCAGGAGGAGAACAGAAATCGTGCTCTGGCGGTGCGGCGGCAGCAGGAGGCCCCATTAGCTAAAGTGGTGCTTCAGGTTAAGAACAGTTTCAGGTTAAGAACGGACCTCTGGAACGAATTACGTACTTAACCTGAGGTACCACTGTACCTCATTTGGTGGGGGACCTTGAGAAGGGTCTCTGAAGCAGATCTTAGTGTGGCAACCCAGCTCCAAACTGTTTGGGGCTTCAAAGGTTAAAAGCAGCACTTTGAGTAGGTTCACACTGGAGGTTCTGTTTATGGTAGCGGAAAATGGGCAGTCTCTCAGCCTTGGTATGTAAAGGTAGTTAGATGGACATGCCAGGTCCTAGCCACAGTACTAACACCTTTGGGGGGGGCGGGTTCCATTTCTGTGGGGAAGGACCCATATGACCAGTTCGCTACTTGCACTGCTAAGCAATTTAAACATTGCCGCAGCAGTTGCTCGAGGAAAAGCAGATCCCACCACACAGCTGAAGTGATGTTTAGAAGAACTTGTTTGGGAGACCCTTAACCACAGCTGGGTTAACAGCCACCCCTGTGATGTAGTAAATAAGGTGAATGGGTTCTTCTTATCTCATTTCACAGCTGAGCAGCGTACGGCAAGATAAATCAAATCAGGGTAAATGGCTTCATCTAATAAACTGGGTCAACATATAATGTATTTGTTCAAGTTTACACATTCATTGATTCTCATTTGATTTAAGAAGTGATATTTCAGTTTATGTCTGCAACATTTTTAGTATCGTCTTGGAGAGAGGTGGAAGGAGGGAGGGAGAAGCTGCATGAACTGGCGACATGAACTGGAGAGAGAGAGAGAGAGAGAGAGAGAGAAAGTTTTTCTGCCCTTCGTTCCTTTTCATCTTTATATGATGAGGAAGGAATTGGTAGGCTGGACTTGGGGGTGGGGAGAGGAATCAGAGAGTTACGGCTATCTCTTCATCTGCATTTTCCCAATAATGTTTTAGTGATGTTTGCTAATGTATCATTCATTAACCATCAGCCACTATAAAAAACATAATCTGTCTCACAAAGTGGACATTATTATCACATTAAATCATTTCACAATATACCTGAACGGTTCCACATGATGGGCCTGGCCTGACTGCGCTCGGTTGCCCTGGGGGCAAACTCTTCAACAGTAATGAGATACGAGGTCTGTCTGTGATGAATACGATATTACTCGTGTCAGTGGCTGTGGACTGCACCCAGAATATTTCTTCCTACAGGTCCCTCCTCCTCCCTCCACCCCCCGACTATCGCAAAGGAACTCAGGCAAAGCACTATTAACCCAGTAAATGAAGCTCTAAAGATCACAGAGTGTGTTCATTAGTTGACAAGATTGTGACTAATCCAATTTTTCTTGCAGGGAAAAATACGCATACATCTGCAACATCTGGGTTGTGGCAGGCTCGGCAATATTTCAGACATATACATGCAGAGGATGTTGTTTCATTTTTTTAAAAAAACAAGCAAACAAAGTCTCTCTTTTCACCCTCTGTATAGGCCATTATTATTTTATTCTTCAGCTGTTATTAATATTTTATTCTTTGGAGGAGATTAAAATGTTTGTGGATGGCGGCAGAAATGTGAAGATAAAAGCCAAGGAAGGAATGGATTTTTAAGCTTATTTTTGTTATTAACATTTACTTTTGTTATTAAATACATTGCATTGAATTCAGTGCAGGTTCATAAGCCAAAGTCTAAAGGGCTTAGCAGCAGTTCTCCTGTACTGCCTTTTGGGACCTACTTTCTAAAGACAATTGTAGCTACATTAGTATAGCAGAATGCTGGCTCCAAAAGGTGGCGGAGGGAAATGTCTAAAAGATCATTCTACTCCCTTATATGCCCAGACAATCACTGTTCTGTGCAGGTGAGGGCCTACTGTAAGTCCATGCCATACAATATAGGAGTCTTGCCTTTAGTGTGGTGGCACGAACCCCATACCCTTCAACTGTCCTGATAAAATTGGGGCACCCTGTTTTTTCATGTGAGAGCATAGTACCAAAAACCATGCATCTTTGGGGACCACGATCTCACATGGGTCATGTAGCTCACACGGGAATGCAGCCCCAGAAGACACATGTCCCAGTTTTTTGTATTGACATGTTGGAGGGTATTCTACCCTATGGAAATTCTTCTGGGTACATCTCAGGCTCCATCTCTGTTTTGGTTTTTTGGGCCTCTATTGAAGACCATCCTCTACTGAAGACCATAAATAGAAAGGAATGTAAGCTGTTTTTATATGCAATAACAGCAGCAAGAATATTATTGGCCCAAAAGTGGAAGCAAGAAGAATTACCGACGATTGAGGAATGGAGGATGAAGCTAATGGACTATGCAGAACTAGATAAGCTAACAGGAAGGATTCGAAACAGGCGGGACCAGAAATTCATGGAAGACTGGAGTAAATTTATGGACTATTTGAAAAGTATTTGTGAAGAGCAGATGACATTTGTAGGTTTGCAAGAAGTTTTGTGAGGAGTATTAATGGAATTATTGCAAAAATGGATAAGGGGAAGGATGATTTGTCAAGAGATGTAAAGGCAATATAAAGTTTAGAAATGCATAAGAAGTGGTTAAAACGGTGGATCATCAGAGGTGCTGATGGAAGTCTAAAAAGATTGTATAAGTGATAAGTTTTGTGGTACACTTTATAATTTATATGTTAAAATTAATAAAAATTATTTAATTTTTTTAAAAAAGAAGGCCATCCTCTTCCAGCGAGCTGTGAAGTGGAGATCTTTATCCAAGTCTGCATTTGTATGAGAATTATTTTTACTTTTTCACATATGGAGTTGTTTTGAAATATTTTATGCAAGAGGGAGGGCCGTAGCTCAGTGGTAGAGTATCAGCGTCACATGCAGAAGGCCCCAGGTTCAATCCTTCACATCTTTAGGTGGATCTTAGAGAAAACCCAGTCTGAAGTCCAGATCCCGAAGAGTGTCAAGGGGCTGTCAGGAATGCAGGTTCATGCACAGGTCAGGAAGAGGACTCGAGATGCGAAGTACAACCAGCTTTTATTCACACAAATAAAAACACAACAGAGTTCATCTAGGCTTATCTGCCCTAGTTGAAGACGTTGCTGGGACTGGTGTCTGGCTCCTGCTTCCCTCTCTAGCTCTCTCCCTCTGGACTCCTCCCAAGCAGCGGCAAGCTCTGGGCGTTTCTGGCTTATTGCTCAGCAAGTCACAAGGCTCTTCGTGATCCAGGTGTCAGTGGAGGAGGACAGCTAGCTAAAGTGGGACTGTCCATCTGGCTCTTCTCTGTCAGAGTCTGAGCTCACACTAAGACCCTCGGCACTGTGCCCTGTCCTTGCACAGCTTTCTTCTTTTGAAACCCCCCTCTCCATGTTCACTCAAATCTCCTGCCTCTATCACCTCCCAGCTTGTCCCTTCCACAGGCCGGTCCTCAGTGTCCTACTACCACTGTCCTGGGTCTAAGTCTTCTCCCTCTGTGCTATCCCTGGGTTCTTGGGCTGGTGTCTCCCACCACTTTTTATCATCCAGCCAGTACCTGACAAAGAACCACTGCCACGCATAATGGGCAGCTTCCTACGTTCCTGTAATTATTTTTACAGTTTTCTTGTTTTACAGTTGTTGTTTTATAATTGCGTATTTCATGGTTGTTACCCACCATGGGACCTTATGGTAAAGGTTGGGGAAGGTATTGAGCGAACAAACAAATGCTGACGAAAAAAACTCATTTCCACATGGAACCTCAGAAGTATGCATGCCTCAGAAGTCTACATCAGGCGTCAGCAAACTTTTTCAGCAGGGGGCCGGTTCACTGTCCCTCAGACCTTCAGGGGGGGGAGACTATTTTTTTTGGGGGGGGGAATGAACAAATTCCTCACAAATAACTCAGAGATGCATTTTAAATAAAAGGACACATTCTACTCATGTAAAAACACCCTGATTCCCGGACCATCCATGGGCCGGATTTAGAAGGCAATTGGGCCGGATCCGGCCCCCAGGCCTTAGTTTACCTACCCATGGTCTACTTTATCAAATGCTGCTGAGAGGTCTGGGAGAATCAATAGGGTCACATTGCTGTCCATCCATTTTCAAGCATAAGTTGTCCACAAAGGTGACCAAGGTAGACTCCAGCCACTGCTCTAGGCCTAACCTGTTTTAGGTACTTTCTTTTCAGATTGACCCCAACACGTAAACATGGAAGCAAGAGATGATCAGTGGGACTTGTTTTGCTTTGGTACCAACTTCTCCTCACTTAACCATGTTGATATATTCAAATATCATGGCAGCAACCCTGGAAGAAAGGTGAGGACTGCCCTCACACTGGATGTGAGAGACTAAGGTAGCAGCTAGCGTGAAACCACATGGCTGAGAGAAAAGATTCATAGCAGGACTTCACAACTCATTCTCTGGGGATTAAATAAAACCATAAGAACTTTTTAAAAAACCTGAGAGAAAGTGAAAGCTGCCCTTGCACATAGCAGGTATATAGGGAAGGTGGGGAGGGGGGGGAAGCTTAAAACTCTTCAAGTAGGGAGCTGAAACAAATAAATAAATGCAATAGTGAGAATAAAAACCCCAAAACAAAACCTCATCAGACTTCTTTTCTCCCTCTGAAACTAGAAATAAAGATCCCACTATTGTAATTCTATGCCCTTCCTGGAATAGGAAGATAGCTATACTGCTCCAAGAGATATTTCTCCTATGAAAGATTTCTGAACTATATATAACTCTAGAAGCTGGACTCTATGAGGATGAGTGAAAAAATAGAAATGAAAAGGCGAAGTCTGTGCAAGGTATATTTCTTAATTATTATTTCCATTAGGTTTTTGTGAGACAAGTAAATATTATTGATAGCTGTTCATGTTGCATACAGGTCAATTTACAAATAAAAATGAAGAACGGAAAATTATAATTCTGACCTTAGCGACTCTGATAAGATCAGTTCTTTACTGATTTAATATTGTTTCATAGTTTGTGCTGCTAAATCAAAAGGTTATCCATAATACATAATGTGAGGATCAGGGGTATTCAACAGACATTTATTCATTATTAATATAGATAATAAAGGATCATTTATGAGGCTACAGATGAGATTTTTATCCTCAAAAGCTTAAAAAGGGAAATTTATTTTTGCTCCAGGACAAAGATGAAAAGAGTCAGTAATGGGAAAATATAAGCACCAACACAAAACTGTCAGACTCATTTTGTTCCCAAAGATGACTCGCACTTTACTTCGACAGATTAAAACCAAAATAAAATGTCTGCAATGTAAGAAAATATGTTTAAAATCTTAATTGATGGGGAATTTGGGAGCTTGTTCTGATTTTGTCCTTTTGTCTCTCTTGGAGTAGAGATCTTGAGTGCCTTATGGAAAGACTTACCAGGCAGAAAATACATCACTGTCTGAAGAGCTTTGGGAAATTTTTGACAGATACTTTCTGAGGCGCCAATGTCAGTCATTGGACCATTTAATACACAAATACCAGAATTTGAAAAAGTGTTGTGGTCGCACACACAATGTAGCTTTCTCATTAACCCAATAGGACCAGCCCTCCCTGCTATTAGTATTCCTTCATAGTTTATGTGCTTAAATCAAATGGTTCCTATAAAAATAGACTGGAAGCTGGTTCAACATATTTTTAAGTTTGAAGTGCAATCACTACAAGTTTCTTTGGTTTTTCCATTCACAGGAGTGCCCCAGGATCCCTTGCAATTTATGCTGTGATTGTTGTTCTTTAGTCGTTTAGTCGTGTCCGACTCTTCGTGACCCCATGGACCAGAGCACACCAGGCACTTCTGTCTTCCACTGCCTCCTGCAGTTTGGTCAAACTCATGCTGGTAGCTTCAAGAACACTATCCAACCATCTTGTCCTCTGTCGTCCCCTTCTCCTTGTGCCCTCCATCTTTCCTAACATCAGGGTCTTTTCCAGGGAGTCTTCTCTTCTCATGAGGTGGCCAAAGTATTGGAGCCTAAGCTTTAGGATCTGTCCTTCCAGTGAGCACTCAGGGCTGATTTCCTTAAGAATGGAGAGGTTTGATATGCTGTGATACAACTCCCCAATTTAAACTGTTTCATTGATGCCCCCTGTCAAGCTACGAAGTGGTAGCTTGGGTGACTTAATATAGGTACCATTTGGGTACCAATTTTTGTCTTTTTTTATGCTCCACCATTTCCACCACCAGCCTCAAGCTTGTTGCTGAATGGTAGGGCTGTCTCCTCTCTTCTGCAGCACCAGAACTGCAATATTACTTAAGTTGAGACCTTGGAGAGTTGTTGGTGGTTAAGGAAATCTTCCCTCTGGGACTAGGGTGGTGATTTTTACATGTGATTGCCTTCTGTCTTTAGCCCTAATGTTGCTGTGATCATGGATTTCTCAAGTCACTGAGAAAGCGGTTCATACTCTATATATCATCTATTTCCTGAAGCAAGGAAAACCCTATCTTATAAATTGACCATATTTTTACATGTGTGTGTGTGTGTACTTGACAAGATGCAAAAAATCCCTGCTATCACATCTGGCTCCACACTAGTCCTTGTACGCTGAGAAGGTGAATTTAACATTTGATTAACCAGAACAGTTTATAATAAGAAAAGAGGCCTTTAAATTAGAAGTTAATTTAGATAATTTGTCATCGCCTACCAGTGTCCTTTCCTTACCAGCAATATGCTAATGCATCACGTAAAGTAATTGTCAGTCACAATTGCATATCATTCTGCCACTGGAACAGCCCAAGATCTAATTAAAGCCACAGCGGCAGCAACATCTGGGGTTTCTCCTGGATACTGATTAGGGACACCTAGGAAGAGGCAGCAGCAACCTTGAAACTGCAGTGAACCTTGAGAAGGCATGGGGAAGGCAGAAACCTGATAGCAACATTACACTACCTCCCCTGCTCCCAAGCACAATGGTTGTGATTTGTGATATACTTTGCCACTGGCAGCTCACTCCTTATTTTCCAGCCTGGTCAGATGAGCTTTTGACTACAGCCAAATCACCAGCTAATGTTTAACTTGGGCCACACTAGCAAGTGCTGAAGCACCAACCACTTTGGCTCTGCCAGACTTCGATTCATTCTTGTGAGAGCCAAGAGATGCAAAGGACACTCCTCTCTGGTGCAAATTCTCTGATGTACCTCAATAGTTCACTATTATTGCATTTATTTATGACATTCATGAGGGAACCGGGTGGCACTGTGGGTTAAATCACTGAGCCTACGACTTGCCAATCAGAAGGTCGGCGGTTCAAATCCCCGTGACGGGGTGAGCTCCCGTTGCTCGGTCCCTGCTCCTGCCAACCTAGCAGTTCGAAAACACGTCAAAGTGCAAGTAGATAAATAGGTACCTCTCCAGAGGGAAGGTAAATGGCATTTCTGTGCGCTGCTCTGGTTTGCCAGAAGTGGCTTAGTCATGCTGGCCACATGACTCGGAAGCTGTACGCTGGCTCCCTCGGCCAATAAAGCGAGATGAGCGCCGCAACCCCAGAGTCGGTCATGACTGGACCTAATGGTCAGGAGTCCCTTTACCTTTACCTATGACATTCATATCCTGCCTTTCCTCATAGCAACTCAGGGTCACATACAGAGGTTTCCCCTTCTCCATTTCTGTCCTCACCGAAACCCTGTGAGATGGGTTGCACTGACAGACAATGACCAGCCCAAGGTCAACCAGTGGACTTCATTGCTGAGTAAGGATTCGATCAGGGTTTCCTCAAACTTATTCTGACACTTGAAACATCACTTTACAGTGGCTCCGCTGCCCTGTGTCTTTGCTTGTGTAGTCAGTCAAGCTGAGATGCTTCTGACAGAGCTCCTGTCCATGCTGGAGAGCGAAGGGGATTAATGAGTTCTTTGCCTAAGGCGAGCTGACTTGTGGGGTGCATAATATCAGATTCTTAGAGCTAGAATGGACCACAAATGACT